CCGCCCCCAACCCCCGGAACCGGGGAGGGGGGTTTGAAGAGACAAAGAGGGCAAGAAACCAAACAGGACTGGCACTCTTACCTGCAGCAGGAAACGAATCCTTGCTGGCAATTCCTTACTTAACATCAAGGAGCGCATACGGGCAAAGTACTGATCCATTAAGGACTAAGAGGAGAAAGAGGCCAAGTTTAGCTTAGTTGCTTAAAGTTGCAGTTTCCCCCTCAATAGTCTCTCTTTTCAGTATCAGTATTACAAATTACATTTAAAATGTGGCAGTGTTCACATTATCTAAAAATGGTAAAGAGAAACAGGCTGTTGTCCTCCCCTTCTATTTCCCATTCCCTTAAAGGAATGGTTTGGACTGGACTGTAGCTGAATCCCTAGATTATCTTCTGCCCAAGACACTCTGAGGCAAAGGACAGAAAAATCAGTCAATACTATTTAGCTTTGTAAACATTCTGACAGTGACCAGCTACTAAAAATACCTATGAAGACAAGTCAACCTTAAGAGACATAGGGTAGGACAGTTATAGGCCACAAACATATCGTAAGACACATCATGTAACTAATTCCTTGCACTTAGAATACAATTCTACAGCATTTGTGATAAAAATTAGTATTCGGGTACATAATTGCTCAACTTTCTAGGTGAAAATTGTGAACAAACAACGTATTTCTGTCCCGCCCCCCCCCCTTTTTTTTTTTTTGCAGGGAGCCATAAAGTGTTAGTACTTCAGTTTGAAAGAAAGACATACCTTGGCTTTTGCATGGTCTAGTCTAGGTCCCACTGTCCTCATTATCTGACAGAGGCACTCCAAATCCTCCCCCATATCCTTGAGTTGGACTCTCTTCTTCTTTTCCAAAAGCTAAAACATTAAAGAGGGATTATTTCCATTAAGAGGGGGATCTTTATGCAGACAGTTATGAGGTTAATTCAAAATACAGAATGCTCTCCCCTCTCTTATACAGGCCTGTCTCATCTTATGCGGGGGTTCCGTTCCACAGTTAGTGCGTAAAGCGAAAACCACGTATAGTCAAAATTACATGGAGTTGAATGGCGGGCAGAATTGCCCGCACTGTAAGTACAGTATTAAAGTTGTTATTTTCCTCTTTTTAGTGTTTTTGTCAACCGCGTAAAGCTAAAATCGCACATGTTAAATGCGCGAAAGATGCGACAGACCTGTATAGAGCCTTATCCTGCAAAATACCTGGACCAAATTAAAACCTCATCTTGGAGAATTCTTATAGAACTCTTAATAAAGCTATGTACTGCACTGTTATTAACTATTCAAATTTTCCTACATACACAGAAAAAAAATACATCTCTTAAAGCAGTATTGACTATTTTGCACTTTAATATTAGCTGTAAAGAACTATTTTACCGAGCTGGTACACACCAAATTTAGGAAGTCCTGACACTTACTGTTTTGATGCACTTATGAAGGATAGATTCATGAATAAGATCAAGCTTGCCAAGTTCTCCAATGAATTTGATGTTCCCCAGCATCTTGATCTTGGCAATAGCTCTCTGTTCCTCCTCCTCCGGGAGGAGGGGGCCATCACGCTTATCATAGACTGGACATAAGAGATGTTTGTCAACAATACTGTACAAATATACATAAAATATAAAGTTTAGATTTAATATAGAATAGTTTTAATCTTACTATCAACATTTCTGGTGCGGTTTTCAAATTCATCTTGAAGTTTAGAAATTAGGAGGCGTCTGAATGTCTACAAACATATGATTAGATATAATTAGGTTTCAGACCAATGCAGTTATCCACACAAGCAAAATATTTAGATTTTCAGTGAGAGAGAGAGGAATAAGACACTCACTGTGCTTTGCTTCTGTCCTGGATGACACTCTGCTGATGGGCCATCAAAGTTGGGTGCATCTTCTGCCAGCCGCAGACATAGTTGAGCATACAGGGAGCTATACTTTGGCTCTTCAAGGGCTTTGTCTACGATCTAAAGAAAATAGTATGTTTCTAGTACACTAATTGATTAGAGTATCTTAAATTTTTCAATTAAAATCTATCAGCATTAAGTAGTGAATATCTCCAACAGGACACTAATAGAGGGCATTTTTAAAACTGTTTTATTTGGGGCAAAGTACCCAATCAAAGTTACAAGAGTCACTCTTTATGTGTGACTATTGTTCCAGATGGACTCCTGGTATTTCCTAACCTCTTAGAGTTCTCTAAGGCTATAATGTCTTGTGTAATCATTCCAATGTTGGAAAATACCCTCCTCCTTCCCCTCCAACCATCTCGGAATCCATTACAGCCTTACAACATTGCTATGGAATTTAAGACAGTAGTTGTGTCTGAGCTCACACATCTTATTTCATGACAATGAGTGTATTTTGTTCTGCCTCAGCACCGGGGGGGGGGGGGGTGGTCACAGCATGGTGTATGTGTCTGTGGACTAGATATCTCTCAAAGTCCCTGCCAGCCCCACTTCAGTTCACCTGACTATATTTAAGTAATTTACATAAAGCACAAGGATGTGTAGTACAGTACAACTCTTATTTTTCACAGTATAACTACTACTAGTAGCAATGTTTCAAAAAAGCTACACTATCACTTGGCACTCAAAGTGTAACACAGAGTCCCAAGACCACCTACAGAAATATTGGAAGCGTTTGTGGCTAGTAAAGGCTTGCTTCAGATTAAAAGAAGCCTTCACATCCTGTACTACTGTAGAAATCTTTACCAGGAAGGGTTGTTTTAATATATGGAAAAAAGTTAAATGGTCATTAGTTAGGCTGCTGCTTCTCTTCAAGTTGTAATCCCAATATGTAATAAAATTAAGTTTTGGGCAATTTTCCTTCATCTATTTGGCCCTATTTTATATATCAGGAACAATTCGGAGACTTAAACCAAGATTATTCATCCTTTGTACTAAAACTAGGGTTTTTGTGTAATCAACCACTTAGATATTCTTATTGAATACTAAATTCATGTACTTAAAATACACCTGACTTACCAGCAGTATGATCCCTTTTAGGATGAGCTTAGACTCTACACCCACATTGAGGAGCTCAAGGCATAGCTTGTCAAACTTTTCAGGAGTAAGTTTATTTAGTATGCTAGAGGAAGAAAAGTTAGAGGAATCAGTTATGTTTGTAAAATGGTCACATAGCCGATACAGTTTAATTTACGTGAGTTGGGATTAAGATTTGAGTTGTCCTGGTTTTCTTCCAGTTATCACTTTAGACAAGAGCAATTTACTTTGTGTGTTTGTCAAATAGAGGAAGCTTTTTAGGGCACACAAGAAATGCACTCAGCAGCAAACAGAATATAGCAATCTTAAACCCACCCCATTACAAGTACATGATGCAGGGCAGACAATTCAGATTTTCTACTGCTCCTGCTCCACCAATCCCTTACAGGGGACAGCTACTCAGGAATCTCTGACCAGCTTCAGGAATACTCTCTTAAGTTTATGCACATGTATTTGCCCCTCCTTCTAACCCTTCCATTAGGAACCATGTATTTCAATTTTAACCATGCAAGACAGCGGTTTTCAACCTTTCATTTGTGGGACCCCCCACAAAACACACACACAAACTTTTAACAGAGGTGTGGACCCCTTTGGAAATCTTGGATGTATAGTCTGCAGACCCCTGGCGGTCTGAAGACCACAGGTTGAAAACTACTGGTATAAAAGTACTTATACTACAGGTTGATAAAATAATATTGGGGGTGGGGGTGGAAGGTATTTTTTAGTACTCCACTTTGCCAATCGATATTAACCTTAAAAATAATAGACCAACTTACCCTCTTACTTTCCTGAAGATTGCATCATGTCGTTCTTTGTCATTTGCGGAGTCGTCATCTCGTCTAGTGCTTCGTGAAGGAATCCATTTCTGAGCGTTTTGCCCTGGGGTTTTCCCCAGGAACTCGCTATATTTATTGAAAAAATATAAATAAGGCAGTAAACTGAGAAAAGAAGTTTTTGCTCAAATGTTGTCATAAGCAGCATAAGCTTTGAATGTCACCTTAGATTTAGGTTATGAACCTGCAACTGGTTGTGCAATAGGCGCTCCCATAGCCTATGGGGACATTATGGAGACCCACATGCTTCTTTTGCGGGATTGGGTGTTCCCCAGTGTCCCCACCAACTCTTCTCCACACCGCCTTGACTTCATTTCAGTTAAATGAAATCTGCGTATCATATTAGCACTAACAAGTTAGTAATTGTCTACAGTTAGACATTTTCCTTTTTAATTAGACTGGTGGCTCTCTCTAGTATACAAAGCTGGAATAAGATTTGTCAATGTTATCTGTTAGGAAGTTAACAAAAGCTGACAAAAGTACAATCACATGGTGTCTTAGAGAAGTCTACAGGTTTGAGATCAATAATTGCTGTTATGTATGTATGCATGCAGACTCCTTATTTACAGCTATATATGTTTTTACCACCAACATGGCAATATGACATACCTGTTGCTGGCAGTCTTGGGATAGTGCTGAGGTGCACCCCTACTACCTCCTCCGCCTGAAGAAGCACTGTTTCAGAGAAGAAAATACCCTTATTCAAGGCTTTTCAAAAGTACTCTCTCTAGCTCAGGCCTAGCTACACAATTTTTTTGTATATTTTATTTGAAAGTTTAGCTATACATCCTTCACAAACAGAAGTTAAAAGCAATACAATTAATCTGTCACTTAGCATATAAAACTAACTTAAAATTCTCATAGAGAGTTGAACATATATATTGCAGGTCATTTTGCTTTTGAGTTATTTTACAATAGTCTGTCATTGAGGGGAAAAACAAACATCCTACCTGAAACGAGAAGCACCCCCTTCTGCAATCGCACTCTCCACTTTGGCGGCTTGACAACGAAGAATCTTCAAAAGAATAATAAATTGACAGGGTGGGGGGAAAAAAACCTAGAACGACAAATCAGAGTTCACATTACAATTATTCGCTTGTGCTTATAACAGTTCTTTTCTTCAGCAGGATGACATCTATCAACACAAACCACATTATTTGAGTTTAACTATGTGCTTTTATTAAAAAGGAGTCCCCCAGAGCTTAAATACACATTGAAAGTCAGTTTATTCCTTCACTTATGTGCAACACTTGATGACATCAGCAACATAAAGCAATGTAGGGACATCCTCAGAAAGCTCGATTATGTGACCATAATCGTCTCTCTTGGGGCCAAAAAAAAAAAAGTGTCTAAATTCTTGTCTGAGACGCACCCTTTTCTTACAGGTTACTTTAACAAAAAATTCTACAGTCTGATGTCATATTCGCTTAAGAGTTTGTCTAGTTTTAAAATTAAGATTTATTTGTATTATTATGAAGTTTGGCAGGAACAGCCATGCAATAATGTCAAATCTAACAGGAATGCATCCTAAAAACTGTAGTGTGAACAGATGTGCCAGATCATAAAGTGTTTAATCCAGGCCTATTTAAGATTAGGTGAATATCTAATCCATATAAAAGATAGTCATTTAACTACAGAACCGCTTTAAGCCCCATTTGCCTCATCCCTACAAATGGTTAAGATTCAAAGATGGAGGTAGTTTGATCATGCCCGGAAACGTGGGTGGCCTTTAAAAGAAAAATCAGAGCAGTACTCATCATGGAGGTAGTCTGCTCTGAAGACAAAAGATCGAGCATCTGAACGGTTCTTTGTTTCAAAATTTTGCTTCCATAACCTTTTCTACTGGCTCAACAATTTTAAAAAATTAAGTGATGAGATAAAGCATGATGGAGCCCAGAGTTCTCGTCACCAGAGGGTGAGACCATGAAAGGTGTTTCCTCCTGAGGAAGTTCCCCTCCCTCCTATGCGTGTTTGGCAGGTAAGCGCTAACACCTACTCTTTAGAGATACTTTCCGCTTGAGCAATACACCTTCTCATCCTGCCCCGGCAGCTCTTTCCCCCAGCAGCCTGCTCAGGCTGGGGGCAAGGGAAAGAATAAGAGGTGGCTGCAGCCAAACAAAAGGGCTGCGGGAAACGCAGGCGGCAGCAGCGGCGCCCCTGCAGGACACAGGCACTCCCCCCCGGCCGCACGGAGCCCCGAGCGCCCCCTCCCCCCGGCGCCGCCCGTTCCTAGGCTCAGCAGGCCGGGCCGGCTCTTTGTTCTCGGCGAGGGAAGCAGGAAGCCCCCAGCCCGCCCTCTGCAAGGCGACGGGCCGCCCCCCCCGGTTACGCGCAGCCCGCGAGGGCCTCGCGCCCAGACAAAGCGCTTCCCCCTTCGCTGGCGCAGGGAGGCACCCGGGGGGGAAAAAAAAAGGGGGGGGG